TTGCAAGAGCGATGTCTCAGGGCGCACGCATAGTCGGTCGGACGACAGCAACGACCGCAGGTGTCGCAGATCGATACGCACCCAATGCTGTGCGACACTTGCAGTCGTTGCTGTCGTCCGACCGACTATGCGTCCGGCCAGTCCAAATACCCTCCAGGAAAAGGGCGCATGCCATATTCGTTATGAGGACACCGATTAACCCATATGTACAAGTTTACACCAAATTTAATGAAAACAGCCATCATAAAAGTAGCGCCACCTGGCGCCAAAAACTAATTTATTTCGTGAGGGTCATCGAATTACCGACATGAGCAAAGCTTCGACGAAAAACAAAATTATGAAGTTTGGGATTGTATAAGTTGAATAGTGCCAGCTTTTCGGTAGCCAGTAACGCTCAGCATTAACATCACAAATAAAAATTCAGAAGAAACAACATCTCACCTGAGTAACTGCCGACAGCCAACACTGCTTGTATGGTAGCTACCAGCGAGATAATGAAAACAACGAAGAGAACATTTAGGTTTAACACGGGTTCAATTTCGAGTGCAGGAATCGTCTAAATATTATGGCACTATGATGGAAGCTTTATTTGGAAATGAAACACGGAAACATCCAACTTTACCTTTCGGTTCTCTCGAACTGTGATGGGAGCACTGTAGGGGTGAAATTTTTGTGAATCCTCCTTTCCAACATTTGTATACTTGGGATTTAACTGTAGTGACCAATCTTCCATTCAATGTGTGCAGAGTATTATGTTCAGGATCGCTTCTGGGGAATGATAGGAACATTGTTTTTTTCATTATTTTGCTCATACACGGAATGCACGTACCTCAAATATCGCAAACAGGTGCGCTTTAACGCTTATCGCAAATGGAAAAGGCACCGACAAGAGATTCCCGCCAATTGAAACGTACTATCCGCAGAGGATTCACAGACTCGACATCACTTGGTCGTCGAACTCTTCGCCTTCAATTGCCTTTCCATCGGACAGTGCTGGTGAGTGTTTATGTGATCTCGCATTTTCTAATTTTTTTTTAAATTCATTCTTTTTGGAGGCAATCCTATCCGATAAGATAGGGTGGCCGGGAAAGAGGTTTTTCATGGAGTTTTTCGCGGCACTCACCACGGTCTGCCGTATTAGGGGACGTTTTGGTGCCGAGTCCAATTAAGAAAGAAAAACATTGTAAACAAAAGAGTTAACACCGTTCATTCTCACCTTCCCTTATTATTTCGTCAATCCCCGGATCCCAAGTCCTTTTAAATTGCGACAGACATTTAAACGTGAAATTCAGTTGCTAGCATCTTGGCCTGGTAGTTCGTCACGACCTTTTCCGCAGAGGGACGATTTGGAGTGAATGAGCTCATTTTACTTGTGCAAGAAAGAGACCAAGACTGGCGTCAGAGTCCTCAACCGTCGCGCGATTCGCGCGAATAGAAAAATCGCACGTGCCCATTTGAAACACTGAATATGAAACAAGTAGAATCATGAACAGTCGTCATTCAACCATCACCATCAAGCAGAAATGGCGGCGGGATTGGAGAGCACCTCGCAGTATTGATCGGGACTCTGGCATCAGCCACACGGACTGGATGCGGAAATGAAAACGTTTTTCATGGTTTTGATTGAATGCCTTGGATGCCTTGTCGCAAAACCCCATCTTCAACCACATTTAAGCTAATGCTTAAAGCGCCAGGTCAGACTCTGCGAATCTGGTTTGCTACTAGCGAGTAAATAAAGACGCCAAGTCTGACCACGGCATAAGCGTCCATACAAATGAGGTTATAGCGTTTTTGTGACGGATTTTGACCTAAATTGGCTTGTATAACAGGATACGTGGTTTTCTTCCTAAAATACTATTTGTTCAGAAGATGCCTCCAGCCGTGGAGCCAGTGGACGAGATGAACGCCTTAACGATCAGCGGCAAGAAGAAAAAACGGATTGCTGGCCGCTGCGACATGGAATTAGGCGATGTGACAGTGCACAATGTGAAGCAACTGCGCACCTTGAATTCGTGTATTCTCCCTGTTCCGTACAATGCGAAATTTTACGCGAACGTCGTCGCTGACGGTGAAATGTCGAAGCTGGCGTACGTGAACGATATCGTGGTTGGCGCTGTGTGCTGTCGCATCGATGAGCATGAAGGGAAACGATCGCTGTATATAATGACCCTTGGGACGTTGGCTCCGTACCGGCAACTTGGTGTTGGAAA